CTCTCTCTCTCTCTCTCTCTCTCTCTCTCTCTCTCTCTCTCTCTCTCTATCTACCTCTCTCTCACCCTCACTCCTGTTCTCTTCGCAGCTGATTTAGGGGATGATACGGGATCAGCTCCCCCTCCCGCCAGCTTCCTGTCGACAGCTGTTGTAAACACAGTGAGCCGGCAAGCGCTCCGATTAAGAGAAAACGCTCCACAGCGCCATGCAAAACTGCGAATTACTAATGAATAAAACGCACAAGCGCGTGAAGCATGTTCGCTTGGTTTTGCTGCGATCGGGCCGGACTGTCCGTCCTCGCAATCCGGATCCCGTGTCCCTCTCTCATTGTCCGGCTGCTTTGTTAGCCGACGCGCAATTAATAAAATGCTAATTAAACATGCATGAGATCATTAGTAGCGGCATGGTAATAGCGCAGCCGCGAGGGGCCAAGTGGGTCACTGCAGGCCTATCTGATTTCCCAACTCAGGCATTAGCAAAAGCACATACAGATACACTGACCACAGATCACTGACTACAGATACACTGACCACATAAACACTGACCACATATGTACTGATTATAGACCCACTGACTACAGATACACTGACCACATAAACACTGTATACATACATACATACATACATACATACATACATACATACATACATACATACATACATACATGCATGTACATGTATACATACATACATAGATACATACATACATGTATGTATAGATACATACATACATACAATTCTGGATTCGAAAAATGAAAAGCCCTCAAAAATAGGAAAAAATAGGAATTTGTCCAGAAAATAGGAGAAAATAGGAATTGCCCAGTAAATAGGAAAAAATAGGAAAAAATAGGAACTTGACGCCCTTTATATGTAGCAGTGACATCATCTGCTATGTATGTAGTTGTAATTATCTGCTATGTATGTAGCAGTAACATCATTTGCTATATATGTAGTTGTAATTATCTAGTATGTATACGTAGCTACTACAGATACACTGACCACATATGTACTGATTATAGACACACTGACTACAGATACACTGACCACATAAACACTGACCACATATATACTGATTATAGACCCACTGACTACAGATACACTGACCACATATAAACTGACTACAGATACACTGACGATATAAACACTGACCACAGACACACCGACCACAAACACACCAACCACAAATACCCTGACTATAGAGACACTGGCCACAATGCATAGACCAGGAGGACGTGGCCGGTACGTGGGGAAAGCAGGAGGGCGTGGCCGGTGCGTGGGGGACCAGGAGGACATGGCCAGTACGTGGGGGACCAGCAGGACATGGCCGGTACGTGGGGGACCAGCAGGACATGGCCGGTACGTGGGGGACCAGGAGGGCATGGCCGGTACGTGGGGGACCAGGAGGACGTGGCCGGTACGTGGGGGACCAGGAGGACTAGGCCGGTACGTGGGAGACCAGCAGGACATGGCCGGTACGTGGGGGACCAGCAGGACATGGCCGGTACGGGGGGGACCAGGAGGGCATGGCCGGTACGT